TCATTTGAATATAGTTTAGTAATTTTCTAGATATTACTGCTATAGTTATTTAACCATTATTAAGGTTACCTAACCATTTTGTGGGCATGATCACATTATTGACATTGTCCTTCAATTTTTTTGATATTGATAAGTATCAATACTGCATTATATTGATTAAATATGTTAATTTTGATACATCACCCGGCACTACAGTAATGGTGTGGTGGCACATATGGGCTAACTGGTAAGAATAGCTTTAGTTTTTCTCAACTTTTAAACACTTTAGCATACATTTGTAATGATTTGTTAGTCCCTGATGTTTAAAGGCTCTGGGCGCTATTTCTGGAGAAGAGAGCCTCATTTAAACTCACAAGGTAATGTTGTTGTCACAGAAACTTTAGCCTTATTTTATAGCAACTTTGAAAACATTTATAAAATCCAAACTTGATCAGAATCAGCTCCAACTTCTACACAACATAAGAACGTGTGTGCATCAGAAAAATTATTAAAAATGGAAAATTCTCATTTTTTTAATTTTGGCAAAACAAAATGTCTGGAGACAGGAATGGATCAAATTTGTTATTTGGGTGGTTTACCTGTTATACGCATGTGCATTAGCACTAAAGGCAGGTTCTCAATATGACACATGCATGTCCATCACAACTGGAAATGCTGTATGAACCAATGGGAGCATATGTCAAAGCGTCAGATTAGAAAACATTTCTATTCTGATGCATTGATGAATACTCCCATTGGTTTATACAGTACTTCCGGTCATGACGCTAGCGCATGAAAAGCAATGCGTTATATTGAGAACCCACCTTAATATAAGCTAATAATTGCCCTTATTGACTGCCTTTAATTAAGTGCTTTTCATGTTACATGTAGGTTCTAGGTCCAGTTATTGCAATATAAAGTAATACAATGTAAGTTATACCGACTCATTAGTCACATTTAGTAATAGAATACATTTTTCCTGACAATTACTTGGAATTAATTTTATTAATTTTTAGGGAATACTTTCAAAAAAGGTGTTACAGTACTTACAGTACATTTACAATTTATGAAAAGAATGCTGGATACAGCTCAATTAAATGTAAGTAACTGCGCAGAGCAATGGTGTTGATTGTGGCATACAGTACTGCTCAGCTATAACTTTACTTATCGTGCTCAGCTATTAACATACACGACACTAGTGCAGCTTCTCTATACACTCAACATACGCTAGTGCAAGGTACATGCGTAGCACCTGTATTGTGAATTTATCATGTACATCATGTATCTTATCAAGTTCTGTGGTGCAAGATTGTATATGTGCATAGTGATTCTA